GGTCATGTAGAGCTGGGAGACGTCTCATTTTAATCAAAAATGTGCGGGCTACACGTATGCATCATCAAGAAAAGGTTTTGGTTATTCTTTAAAGTTTCTGAAAAACTGGTTTTCCAGAAAACTGGGTCTTCAAGAGTCAAGAGCACAAATCCTTTTAGCCTTTTTCTTACCTCAATATACTCTATCGAATGAGATATGAATGAATCGAAACGGAGCGTATCACTTGGGAATGTTCCCTCGTAAGTACCGAATGAAAAAATTTTATTTGAAAAAGTGGAGTTTGTCTAAGACAGTTTACATCTGAAAACTATCAGTTTAACAGGCCTTAATTATTCTAGACATTTTGGAGTACTTTACATCCCTAGACGATGAGAAATGACGGTTAAACAAGTTTATCATTAAATACTTAAGTTTCGATCAAAAATACTAAAAAATATACGTATATGTCTAGCAAAAATTCTCTAGTAGCTCAGAATTACTATGTCGTATAAATAATTATTAATTTAATAGTTAAAGAAACTTTTTTTGTGAAAGAATGAAAAAATGGATGACCGACTGGACTGGGCGAAAATTGTTTTTTCGGTATATCAAAACTAGTGTCTCTGAGTAGTCTGTTTTCTTGATCCCACAGTAGTGAATTTGAGAAAGTACAAGTCATCATAGATCGATCAAAGTAAATGCAATACGATTACGTGTTTAATAGTTGCCTTATCAATCAATATTAACCTCATTTTACTGGATGGTCAGATTGACTTTTTTCAAACAGGGTTAAATAGAACTAATCTCTGATTCGATCAATATATGTAGGATAGTTTGTAAAAATATTAGTTGTTATTTTGAATAGAGTTGCCCTGAAAACTGATAATTTCATTCATTAGACACTTTGCAAGAAATGTAAATCTCTTCCTATCGATGAATATATGTGTACGATAAATCTATAAAGCTGAAAGAAAGAAAAAAAATATGAATTTTTTTTTCTTCATCTCTATATTTTTCTTTGGTTCAGTGCTCTCTTTTCGAACAGCTTTAAGTTGTTGTTGTTTTTTTTACAATAAATCTAATTATTTCAATTCAAAACTACAGATTTTTAGTATTAATAAGAAAAAAATAAGTTATTATGAGAAGTGTAAGTGAAATATCTGACATAAAAGATTATGGTTGGATTTGATTTTTGATAGAATAGACAACAGTAGTAAAGGGATAATAAAAATAATCTTCTTCTTTTCACAAGTATAACAGTTAAATTGAGTGAATAGATATTTAACATATTTGTAAATATGAGCACGAATGTAACATTCTAATGTTGTTAAGAAAACTCGGTCAAGGATGAATGGTGACGATATGAAATTTATGTAGAAGTAGTAGTATATTTTACAGTTCAAAATGATCTTGTTTGATTAACCGTGGAAAGAAAATTATCTTTTTTTTTTTTCAACAACAACAAATCGCTTAAAAAAATAAATCTTCTTTCTGTTGATAAGACTTTTAATCTATATAAAACTTTTCTTGCCTCTCTCATTCCTATATCTACTGACATGTATTTATGAATTTTTCTCTTGAAGTGTGCATGAATATTGGGTAAGTTATTAGCAATATGAAAATATGAAAATTATTGACTGAAAGAATTATTGACATGAAAGATAATTGACTGAAATATCTAAAAATAAACACAAAAAATAAATTAAAAAAAGATTAATATTGGAAATATTGAGTTGATTACACAATGTCAATCGTGTTGGATAGAAATATAAACACAGAACAGTAAATTTAGTTTTATAGTTTACTGTAAAACAAAGTTCGTATGTTCAAACCTGTATTCATACAAAATCACTAATTTTAGTTTAAAATATGATAATAGATTTTTATTCACTTATATTTTGCAAAAAAATAAAAATTTTTTAATATCAATATGAGAAAATGTTTAAGAAAATAAATAAAAACATAATATTTTGAATTAATCGTTCTATCTATGTACTTCAAATATTGCTTATTTTCTAATAAAAACAACAAAAACAACAACAACATTTAAATTATCCATAAATTTATCTATTTTCACATTTTTCTACTATTAATAATTTTTAACTATTTTCCATATTTAACACAGATTTAGACAAAAAATAAAAATTAGAAAAAATCATAGAGAAAGAGTACAACGATTCGATTAATCAAAAAAAAAAATATATAAATAGTTAGAATATTATTTTTAGTGTAACACACGCTACTACTTGATCACTGTTTGACATTTGTAATGAATAAGAATGACGATGTATATAACTTAACCATTTTCTTATAGTTTATGATAAACTTGAAGCTATTCATCAGTTTAACTGCTGTATAGTAACAAATCATTCTGTTCTGGTTTTATGTCATTTCCTTCCGGATTTTGTTGCATATATAATATAGAGAGATAAGTATTATTATTATTTTTTTTTTTTTTGAAAGAAAAATGAAATGATGTATCTCTGCAAATTTTTTTTTTTTCTTCTATGAATACCCTTTACCATCATAAATCGTAAGTAGACTCAATAAAAAAGAAAAAAAAAGAAAAAAACTGTTAAAAAAAGACATTCAATTTTCTTTCTTATATGTTGATTTTATTTAATTTTTAAAAAGTCAATATTACAGTTTATATAAAGTCTTTAATGATTATTAGTAAAAGTAGTTCATTAGGATTGTACATTTTTACATTTAATAATTTATTAGTGAATAAATAAATAAATATTTAGTCATTATGGCTTATTAATTTGTTTATTAAAATTCAAAAAGTTGTCTTTCATTTGATTTTTCTTGTTTTAATGGTAAATATTTTTTTATACTAAATATCTAAGTACATTTTTTTTTTTGAATCTATCAGAGAGTTAATTAATTTTTCTTTTTTTAGAACTCTGTTAGTCAAAAATGTTGTTGTAGTAGTCTAACAAGAACTAATGAATTTATCAATGGCTTGTATGTATATCATACGGTTATATGTCTAAAATATGTTAGTTAATCGAGTATTGCTGTAGATGATCAGTCCGGAAATAAGATTGTATTTACGTTTTATCATCTAAAATGGAATGTTGAATTAAAAACAACAGCAGCAATCAAGAAATGAGACTATTTTGTAGCACATTTATTTAGTATAAATGAAAAGTATATATAACTTTATGATCGCAATTATAACAAACAAATATCATTAAGAAATATTTAGATGGATATTAACATTCTATGGCTATTAGACTAAAACTGACATAAATGTTTGCATTTAATTTCTTTTTATATCTTGGAATTTTTAAGGAATACAAGTGGTGAATAGAAATGTTCTTAGAAAAATAAAATACAGACAACAATGTACTTCATCTTTGAAGATGGATCCGGTTTTACACTAGAGTAAGCGTCATTCTATTTTTTTTTTTCCTTCGACTTTATAGAACATAAAATAGTTAGAAAAAAGATTTAAATTCTTTAGATGTTCAATGTTATTATTTCTATTTGTCAAACTATTTTAAACATTAAACGTAAAAGCATATTCTATTATGCACCTTACTTATAAATTTTTTAATACCTTTAGCAAGATATCGTTTTTAATAGAAACAGAAAACAGGTAGTGTTAGTAGTATAATTTCGACATAGTGTGTGTGTGTGTGTTCAATGGTCGATCTTCATCCATTTACATGAGTATATCTTATTTAAATGTAAGTTAATTATAAACAACGTGTGATTTGTCCTCTCTAACCTTAGAGAAACAGAAGAGAACATAAATAAATCGAATTGTTTCGTTTCGATGGATTAATAAATGAACTAGAAGAAAACTGTTATTATTAATAACGAAAAAAAAAGAAAAAAAAAAAAAATGACGAATGAACAATGAATATTTTCGATAAGCTTAACAAAAGCTTCATTAAGAATTTTCCCATTGTTTATGTATTTATTAATATTGAAACACTCTATATATCGTATAAATTTTCCTTCTCGGCGTTGTTTTGTCAATCTAACAATAGTCTCTTTAATACTTGTTTTAATAAAAATATAAATATCTATTTTGACTATCACACATATATACTTGACAAAAACTCAACAATAACAGAAAAACAAAGTTATATGATATTTTATTGAGAAACTCATGAATTTTTCAAGTATTTTTGAAGTGAATATATGTAATGTAGAACAATGACGGGTAAACACTTCTCTAAAAAAAGAACTTTCACAGGTATCATTTGTGTGTGTGTGTGTGTGTGTGTGTGTGTGTGTGGTATGTATATCGTCTCATAAATCGTTGTCAGCATTATATTCATTTCTTATTCAAGATCGGTTATATGTATATTTTTATTTCCCGTTAGCTTGTTATAACAGACTGTTTAAATCAGTTGTTATCAAAAACACTAAATCTATATCTACCTTCAAGGTTATAGATGTAAAATAATTAGTATAAAAAATAAAAATAAACCTATGTTTGTATATATCTATCTATTGGCAAAATGATCATCGTTTCCCTTTGTTTATTCTTAATCGACAATGAGATAATAATAATCATAACATGATGTGTGTTTTATATTATTATCTTGTCGATTTTTGCTGTTTTTTTGACGTTGAAATTGGACTGGTGATAACGATGACAACATTTATTGATCGCTTATTAATAATGTTATACACACCTCCCTAGAATATAGAGATCGATTTATTCAGATCTGTCTAGTTTTCTAGATGTGTGAACTATCGTTTTATCTATTATAACGATTCTATATTCAATTTAGTATGTATTGATAGTTGTTTAATTACAAACAATGATGTTCATATTATTTTTTAAATAATTTATCACAACGTAATGAAAGCCAATCTTTGTTGCATCATATCTATTTCTTCATCCCTCTATTATTTAAAAACGGCGATAATTATCGATGAGCAACAATCTTCTTTTATCTTATGCAATAACCGCAAATCGATCGATTCAACATCTTAATTATAGTGAACGAAAACAAACTACCATACTTTTTCTACTAAAATCTACAACATTAACCAATAAACATCTTTATCATATTGCATCATCATCATCAAATACGTCTTTATATAACAGTACTCTTCAATCATTATCAACGATATTTTCATTAGAATCAAATTATACAAATTCTTCATCAATAATATTAAATTTAACAAATCATCCAGCTGTTGGTGTTTTTCTATCTCTCTTTTGTTTTATAACCGTTTTTGGTAACGGTCTTGTTATATACGCCATTTCTCAAGAACGTTATCTCAAATCTGGTACGTAATTAATTTTTGTCTATCTTCTTCTCTTAAATTTTCAAATTTTTAAATTTTTCTTAAAAATGGGTACAAAATTATAGTAGAAAATTTTTTAGTCAGTGCCGAATATATTAGTAATAAAAAATATTCATACTATTTTTTTTAGCAACCTATTATTATATGGCTTCATTGGCATGTGCTGATTTATTTGTTGGATTAATTGTAATGCCATTTTCTATTGTACAAGCTTTGTTTGGTGAATATTGGCCATTTGGTAAACTTTTTTGTGATCTGTGGCATTCATTTGATGTATTTGCTAGTACAGCGTCTATTTTGGATCTTTGTGTTATTGCCTTAGACAGATATTCTGGTAATTAATAAATTCTTTTTCTTATCTTCTATAGTATATAACTTATTTATTTGATTATTAATTTAGCCATAACAAATCCAATTTCCTATCATCGAACATTTTTTGTTAAATATTGGCCATTTTTAGTAGCTGGTGTTTGGCTTTGTTCAGGTAGACTATTTTTTTAATATATTTAAATTAACTAAATATAGTCAAGTATAGTTATTTTTATTTGTAGGTTTAATATCATTTCCAGCTATTGTCTATTGGCGTCTTGTTGTTAATCAATATGAAATAAATCGTTGTTCATTTCCTGATGATATTTATTATACCATATTTTCATCATTAATATCGTTTTATATTCCATTATTTGTAATGATTTTTGTGTATATACGTATATATCGTGCAGCTGTTAAACAACTACAAGCATTTAAAACGGGCATAAAAATGGCATCGCCTAAAAAAAATCGTGAAGGTGTTATCACAGTACCAGAAGTATGTTTAAGAATTCACAAGGGTAAATATCATGGTATTGCATTAAACAACGATCAACAACGAATATCACATAATTTACAAACCGGTGATCTTGTACTAGGCGGTATTAAAAAGTCAATTAGTGGAGTATCATTTTTAAGAGAACGACGTGATTCATCATTCTCAAGACATTCAATGCCTTTATTACCATCTGGTGAACATAAAGACTCATCACCACGTTTATCAACAATGAGTACATCTACAAAACGTTTATCTAATATTGATATAAATGATCAAAGAAGTTCAAAATCAATTTCATCAATAGGAAAACGATTAACAAAATTTTCTAGAGAACAAAAAGCTACAATAACTCTTGCATATGTTATGGGTATATTTGTTTTATGTTGGCTACCATTTTTTGTTTATAATCCTCTAACAGCTATTGTTAAACAAATTATTAATCGTAAACAACATTCTTCTATACAGACAAATAATATTTTACTTGGAAATGATATTATTTTTCAAATATTTACATGGTTAGGTTATGTTAACTCAGGTGTAAATCCCATTATTTATGCATTTTCATCACGTGATTTTCGTCGAGCTTTTATTAAATATCTTTGTCGATGTTTTCCAGTGAGTATGAGAACATTTTTTATGACATATAATAATATAAATTTATTACGTTATCGTCGTACACCAAATTCTATTGTATCTGTTGGTGAACTAAATACAGATACAATATCGGATACGATTAATGGTACACCAAATATAAAACAACATTCTAATGATAGTCGAACGATAAAAAATCGAAATATTTTGTTTAATGCATTTCATAGTTGTATTCAGGCAAGACAATTAAAACAACGTCAACGAAAAAGATCTCGATTATTATCCTCTACAAAAAGTACAACAAATAATTTTACTCTTGTTGAATATTGTACATATCATGATTTAAGTATAACAAAAATAACGTGTGTATAAACTTTTTGTTTTTTATATATATAGAAAAAAGTATTTTGTTTTTTAGAAATTATCTGACAGTAAAATATGTTCTCATGTATACATCTTTCACAGAAAGATATGAACTATAAGTTATATAGTTTCAATTTTATATTTTTCTTTCAAATGATCTAACACACATATTGTTGACTCTAGAATCAGTTTTTACAAGACAGTTATTCTTGTTTAGAAACAAAAACATACAACCTTTTGTATGACATGAAAAAAGTATCAAAAATACTTCAAGGTCAACCATTTTATATTTCTCATATTAATCCTCTTCTTTTCTAAACGGAAACGGATATCATATACGATTAATATAACACACAAGAGGAAATCATATCTATTCACAACCAATAATAGTTGCATAATTCGATTCTTCTTTTTCTTTGCTGTTGATAGAACGTGAGATATATTTTCTCCTTGATTTACAAACGTAACGACATTCTATTGTTTGTACACACGTACAAATACTATGATACGAATTTTGATATCTGCATATCATTCTTCTTCTTCTTCGTTTGTTCAATGTCAAGGTAAATTAGAATCATAACGTAGTGCACGTTTCTGAAAAAATAAAATTATAATTGAATATATAGAAAATTTAGAATTTCTATAAAAAGTGAAATGAAAATTATTAAGGATAACTTTTCTCTCTCTTTTTAAAAAGATGTTTGACTATCAGTTGAACAGAAAAGCGTGAGCTTCAAACTAGCAATTCTTTCAGTCTTTCACGACTTTTTTCTTGTAAAAATTATAAGTTTTTTAACTTTTTTCACAAAAGACTAAATTGATTAAATTTTTTAGGTTTATAGGTTTTTCGCTACTATTTTTAGTACCTTCATAAATATTTCTTATTCATGGTTTTATAGAGCAAAGTTTTTTCTAAGGATCTTTTTTAATATTTTTGAAATTCGTAAAGGAAAAGTCAAAAACAAAAAAAAACTGTCATTCTGAAGCATCGACTCAGGTATTCTTGGTCAAATTTTTGTGTGGAAAAGAACGAAAAACTTACGAAACTAAAACAATTGAATCAACTTAGTCTTTTGAGAAAAAACTCATAATTTTAACAAAAAAGTGGAAGACTAGAAGAGTTACTATTTTGAAGTCCAGGCTTTCCTGTTCAACTCATACTCAAAAAAGAGACGTCACTCTTAATTGGGGATGGACTCCTTTCACATATTAGACAGTGTGGATTAAGAGAATATCGAACATAGTTATTCATTGTGAATGTAAAGTAATTGGACTCAAAGTACATAGTTTAGAATTCCTAATCGGGTTAAAGATATTGACTTCTATTTAGTGAGTTATTTACTATGGAACTATAATCTCATTGTGGCACTTATCTAGATTATTTAAAAAGATGCTCATTATAAATATTAAAAAGAATCACAAAAGAATTTACTTGAAATATTGTTTCTAATTCTGATGTACGTGTTGTTTCTACTAAACTATTTGAACATGTATGCCTTGATAAACATTTTCCATTAAATGAGGTTTTATTGGTGATTTTTGTCTTTTGCACTGCTACTGGTAGTTTAAATGTTTGAGATCGATGTGTTATAGGCATTCGTTCGCATGAATTACTTTTTAAATCGCAATTTGATGTCATATTTACCGATGGTTGGGTATCAGCAATTCGGACAGATTTTGAACGTTTTGTTGGTAAATTGAGTGTTAAGGCAGAATTCAAGTCAGTGATATCAAGTGTTATACTCTCAGCTTCAGATATTTGTTTCGTTTTTGTTGTTGAAGAAACACTTGGTGGTACTGGTCGTTCTACATGATTTACATATACATCAGTACCACTTAATGCTATCATAGATGAACTGTTAGCTTTTGACGGAAATTGTTTTCCTTTTGTTAAAATTCTCGATGATGGTCGTTCAAGTTCTTGTTTTGCTTTGATAAATAATGGATTTGTTATGATTTCTTTTAAAATTCGTGTATCAGATAATTTACTTGATGTAGACGTCGATGATGTAAATGTACCATTCTCTGATGGTACATGTTCATGAGGCAATGTCATCACCGATGTTCTTTGTGAATAATTACTTTGATGAGAATTTCGACTTGATTGTATTGTAACGGGTCTGAAGCCACCAGCAGGCAATGGTGGAGGAGGCGGTGGTAAAATAAGACCACACTCATCTAATATATCATTTTTAGATAATAAAGCACTATCACGTTCATTCGCTTCGGCGTAAACTGGTTGTGGTGTGTTCACTCGTCCATAAGGCGGAGGTTGATCATAACAAACACTCGTTGTTGATACAGAACTGAAATGAGGCTGTTTAAATCGTGATGAAAAATGTTCGTTTAATTGATTAATAACGGCTACTGGAGGTCCACGTTTTTCAAATGAATTAGTTGTTCGGCCATTTTGATGATCCATCGACATTATCGAAGAAAAACTTGTACGTGAATGCAATGGATGAACAATGCGACTGGGGATTAAAAGTGATGTACGTTTTTTATATTCAGAATAGACTTTTGACGATTGTTGATCATAGTCATAATCATATTTACTATTCGTTGGACAAGAGTTCTCTTCGTCTTTTTCATCGTCATCATCATCACCATCATCATCATTTGATGTCTTTGTTATCCGCCGCAATGAAGTTGATACTGTTTCATTTTGTAAATTAAGCTGTGATACAGAACCATATGAAGAATAGGGTTTTGAAGTAGACGGTGTAACTTTTCTTAGGGTTGTCTGTTCAAGAATTTCTTTCGATATACGAAAATAACAGTTATTGTTAGATATTATGCTGTTTAATTGTGAACAAGAATTAGTTTTTGTAGTAGAGAATGATGGATGTTTTGATGATGAAGTAGAGGTAGATAAATATGATCGACCATGTTCGTTTTCGTGGGTAATCATTATTTCTTTTTTATTATCTTCTGCTGTATTCGAAGTTACTTCAGGTACTAGAAAAAAGGAACCATTTCAACTTCTACTGAAAAAATTATTACCAAAAATTACTTACTGTTTGAGTGTTTTGGTGATAAACTTTTCTTCTCTTTCAATAATAATCTCGATGACATAATAGTATCAGCTATTGTCCGACAACGAACATTGATATTCGATGTTGATGAAACTAATGTTTCAGGGAAGGGTGGAGCGATTGGTGGTGTCGAAGTTTGGCAATATTTAGTTGAAGATAACGGTGGTTCAGGTACTTTTTCTAATAACTCAGACTCTTTTCGTTGTAAAATTGTTTGAAGTGATTCATGATAAGAATCATTATCAAAAGAAGATGTAGATGATTTAAATGGATGAGATGTGTTCGGCATAACTGATGAATCGTCAGATATTAATCTGTTTGGTGAATGTGTTTGTTCAAACTCATCAACTTCATCGATTGACATACATGTTTGTTGTTTACATACATTAGATATATTTTCATCCGTTTCATAGTCAGGTAAAGGCTCCACTTCTTGTTCACAGTCTACTGTTTGTATACCAATATTATTATTATCCGTTTCATCATAATCTGGCGATGGTTCAGATGAATTTGTTTCTTTTGATATTTCAGTTAAACCATAGAGGTTCGTCTTATGATTTATTCTTGGAATGATATGCTGTTCCATTGTTGCTGTTGAGGTAGGAAAATTAAATGATTTTGAACGATTCATTACCAGAAAATTATTTGCTCGTTGAATAATATCTGAATCTTGTTGTTTTGTTATTTTAGGTTTTATATCACTTTTTCTACCATTATAATGAAAATTTCGTTCTAATGACAGTGAATTTTTAAATGAATGCAGCATCTCCTGACCAATGGCGAGTTCCATTCGTTTTCCCAATGCTTCAGCATCAGCTGAAAAACGTTTGCAACTATAGTGTCGCGGAACGGTCCTATTATTATTATCATAATCGAGTTCGTTTGTGCTCGTTGATTTAACAAAATCGTTGATATTTCTATTTTCAATTGAAACACGTTGCTGTTTTGCGCATCCATCATTTTTTATTGCTGATAATCGACGACCAACATTGGGTAGAGAGGATTTTTTTAGTTTATGATTTTTTCGATTAACAACATGATGATCTTGACTGTTTGATATGGTTACACATTTTTCAATTTCTTTTCGTGATAATCGTGCAGCCAAAATATTTGGTTTATAATGTTTATGATTATGATCTTTTGACGAACATATCTCACTATATCGTTTCGGAATATAAATCGTTGAATTCTTTCGTTCATTTTTCACTTTTTGATTTAATGACGATGGAATAGAATCGTCATCTCTATATGAAAAATTCAATAGATAGTTTCACTGTAATATACTGAATAGCGCACTTTTTGATATCTCTATTTGCTTACTCTAGTCACTTACACAAGATCATTAAACAGGATATCCGATATAAAAACTGTTAACTCTTTTTTTCCAATTTGTAATCTGATGAGGATAAGAAATGACAAAAATGTTAAGTAAATATAATCTCTGCTGTTAAACATATGAAAAAATGTAGAAAATCTACATCTGAAAAAGTTTGTCTTTATTATCAATTACCTGAATGATGGTGAACCACAAAAATGAAAGTCGTACGATGTCTTGTTTTTTTGATGAAAGCAGTTCAATGCATCAACACTAATACATCGAGAAAAAAACCACATTAATATTTTCAAATTACAATGATCATTAAACAAGTTTAATTTAATAATTATAAGTGAAAAAATGATCATGTCTAAGTAGATTTATTCATATTGTTATCAATTTCATTGTTCAATATTCTCTCTTTTTCTCTCTCTCTTTCTCGTGTATGTTGATAAAACAGGCGTTGAAAAAAAAAATTATTTTTATTATTTATATATACTGTATATATATATATATATATACACATTCGTGTCAATTACTGACACGCTTAGAAAAACAACGCCCAAGATCAGTGAATGTTCATCAAAACGTGCTTGTTCACGTCTAAGGATAATCCTTTATTTGCAACTACTATCATAGTTTTGTCTGTATATCCAAACAACAAAAAAAAAACGAAAAAAAAAAAAAAAAGATAAAAATCGTTTAGGAGAACTATAAATCGTTAAAGCTTTTACTGTCCGCAATGATAGAGAAAAGAAAGAAACGAAAGTATTCAACATTTAGCTTTGTTGTTCAAAAGCTTAATGTAAACAATCGGAAAGTATTACGATATAATTGCGTATCTACGTTTGTACATAGGAAGTAATTTCGTTTTAGTTTATTATGACAAATTGCATAGGTAAGATATAAAACAAGAAAAAAAAATAGAAAAGCTTTGAAAGTTTTGGGTTTTTACAACTAGCTTGAGCCCTTCTAATATCATTGTCAACTCTTACTTGCATAAATCACAGCAATCATTTTCTGAACATAACTCAACTGATCTAATAAATGAAGAATTGTAGGGTGGTGCAGTAATGGGCGTCATATCTAGTCAAAACAAAAAACAAAAACAAAAAACGAAGTCATGAAGATAATGGAAAGGATATTATCCGTCAGACTTACGAAAAATCTGTTTTGCATATAATTCTTTTGATAAACGATTTCTTCGAAAAACATTTTGCCAAAGTTTCTTAGCCATGTGTCGACATGTTGCTGAAAGAGTATATAAAACAGCAATAAACAAACAACCTAAAGTATGAAAACTAAAGAGGTGAGGACGATAGATCCCTCTTGGAGAATGTCTAAAAGTACATGCAATTTAGATACACTAATGAAAGTATTCACACTAAAACTTGAACTACATTCTGTACAAATATACAAGATAATTTATTCCTCGTTTTTTTTCATGCTACAACTTACTATGCGAAAATCGTCCATTATAAATATTTCAAAAGATGAACAAATGTTTTTTCTTGTTTCCTTTTTTTATCACAATTAGATATTTGGAACTTACTTTTTTTTTTAGTGGAATAGAGAAGAGATGTAACCCATAGAATCAGAAATAGAATTATTCAAATAAATTAAACATAATGTTTAATGTTTGCTCTGCTGGCCTTGTATTTCAACCTTATGGTGGGGCGTAGTCATTTTGTATTGTCAAATTATATACAGTAACACAATTTTTTACGTAATAAAAAAAAAAAAGGAAGAAATAAAATGGAAAGAATTTTGTCTTTTTGTGTATATTAAATGACCATCAAACGATGAGTGTATGTTGTCTTCATTATTGACAAACTGTCGCCTCATTTTTCAGAAACTTGCATATATTTCATTTTCTGTTTATTGATGAACGAATAGATCACGTATCATCATTTATTCAAATTGACAATAAAAATATTGTTCGTCTTGAAAAAGAAAACGATATTTGATACATGATGGAAATTTTCATTTATGTGTTTTGATGAATATCTTCCAGATTAAGATCATTTTACTTCAAGAAGATATTCTACTAGTCCTTGAAAACAAATTTAATACTTTAGATATACAACAGAAACAAAACAGAAAGACATGAGATGACAATTGCAATACGTCAGCTGTTCAGTCAATCTACCATGTGATTGAGACGTGTATAATTCTCTAACTTGATCGATACAAACCCAAAATTCTGACTTTTAAGGAAGATTTCACCAGAACATTGAAATAAACTTACTTTTTATTCAAATAGATTTAATTCTATTCTTTACTCAAAACTAGGGTCATTTACATCTGAATGACTTATACTCACCGATAAATCGACATTTTCAGAAAGACACCACGAAAAAGTGAGAAAAAAACTCCCGTCTCTTTCATATTTTGATCATAACTTTGAAATATATCATTCAAAAGAGCATAAAAAACGAAACGAAACGAAATTACTTTTAGCACATCGATCTATCAAAATAATGTGGAAAAAATTAAATTTTTCAGATTTTGAAAATGATTTACAACTTCTATTTTTCGTAAAAATTGAATTATGTTAACAAAAATACCAAAGTGAAAAATCTAATCATATTCATTTTGTAGCTCATGAAATTCTGCATTTTATACCATAAGTTCTTTATTCGAATTTATGCAACGAAAACTCAACGATATCTTATGAAGTCTTGTATTTTAATACTAAAATAAACCACATATAGGAAAATTGTATCGAATAAATTCCATCTTAGCTCGTTTGAAAAGCTTGTTTTCTGAAGTAAAATATTCGTCTCTAGTTTCTTCTTAAAACTCATTTTTAACCAAAAAAATCGCTTCAATGTAATATTTTACTTCAGAAAAAAAGCTTTTCAAACGCATTTCGTTTCGTTTCATTTTTTATGCTCTTTCGAATGATATATTTCAAAGTTATGATCAAAATATGAAAGAGACAGGATTTTTTTTTCTCACTTTTTCGTGGTATCTTTCTGAAAATATCGATTTATCGGTGAGTATAAGTCATTCAGATGTAAAAGAGCCTAGTTTTGAGTAAAGAATAGAATCAAATCTATTTGAATAAAAAGTAAGTTTGACCAAAGTATGATCTGTGAACAAAATGTTCGACATTGTCGCGAAATCTCTGTTTAATCACAAATGTAACAAAATTTTGAATTCATTAATACAAACACGTTGGACTTATAATTTTTGAATTTCTTTATTTTCACTCTTTTCTTTCTCAAACGTTCGAGCTAGATTTCTAATAATTCATTCTTTGTCTTGTCATCATCCTTGTAAATCCAACTACTAAACTGTCCAATAGAAGTAAGAGTAAACTAATTAGCCAGTAATAAGTACACTAAACATTGTAAACTGAATTTTGACCTTTAAAAGTTTTTTTATTTTCTCCATTTGTTCATTCTCATATAGAAAAATAGAAGTAAAAACATTCATTCAGATAAATAGAGATTCTAAAAACACAAAATTGGACAACAAAAATAGAATATCTTAAAACGTCCAATCTGACTTTATATCAGTATACATAAAACTCCAATTTTTCAATGTACAATTTGTTCTTGTTGTAATATTAAATTCACAAAAAATATTTGATTTTATATAACAAAAATCTTTTATAGACCAAAATTTCATAAAATCATTTTTACTACTATTAATATTATTCTCTGTCAATGGTACTGATAAGATAAGAAAATTAATTACCGCCAATTTCATTTCATTCACATTTGATAAAATTGACATAGACCAGATACCGTTAGTATCTGATTGATTTTGAAATACAATATCAATAATAATTGGATAAGTTAAAGAAAAAATTTTAATACGCTGTAAAATAGTATGATATGGATTTGATATTATTAATGTTCCATTTGTACATAATCTTGATGTTCGTTCACAATCAATCAATACTTTAATTGTTTTAGGTTCAATAAATGTTTTACCATAGTCACGAAATATTAATTCTTTATTATCAAATATGGTGCCTACCTTCAAGAAAATAAACAATAATATAATAGTTAGCAAAAAAACGATATGAATATTTACTTCAAATCGTCGAACTTCACTTGATTTAAAATCAAAATTGTTCGATGCTTGTAAAAAAAGTTCAAATTCGTTATCATTCAACATATAATGTATTGCATAACCTGTTTATCCATAAATAAAAAATGATAATTAATTGAAAAAAGAAAAAGAAAAGAAGAATACATGAAAATAAAAAAATAAAAATTACCTTGAAATTTAGATAGTACGAAAGTTGCATGAATTTGTTGTATTTCAAGTGAGGAGTAGGATATTGCATCAGGACAAATACTATGATGATGAATAATCATTAAAGATATATAATGTTTCAAAGCATTGATTAAATAGTCCGTTGTAGACTGTTCATCCAAAATATGAAACATATTATGTAGATATAAAGAGGCTAAAAACAAAACAAAAAAAAGAAGATAAAAAATAAAAATAATTATAATTTTTCTTTGTGATTAAATTATTCTCTACCTCCAGTCAAATTTCTTCCCGATACTTGTTGATCTAACCAGTCAATAATTTCTTCATCTACAATTGGATCAAATTTTCTTGCAAAAAATAATGGCTTAGCAAACGTATTCTACAAACAATCGAAATAAAATAGTTTAATCTATTTTTTTGTTTTTTTTTTGAATAATTCTTACACTCAATATTGTTTTGTCTTCTATTCGATATACTAATGGTGAACAACCACACCAGTCTACAACATTTTTATGTTGACATTTACATCCACGATCTCGATTCCAATTAACAAGACGAAGATTATTACGTACAAATGATCCACAATAAATACTGTTAATTAATAATGTATGAAAAAATACTTCACAAGGTAATAATGAATAATGAAATGTATTTAATAATCCATTTAATAAATTATCATTTTCATTAATAATATAATGTATAAAATCTCTATTTAAACAATACCAATCAGATCCACCATCATATACAATATCTTTAATTAATTCTCTTGGACCAATTCTATACATATAATCTTCACATTGTACAAATGTATGTAATAAACCTTGAGATCGAGTAAAATTTAATGGATCACGATTATGTGAACGAAGAAAATTATATTCTGGATACATTGATAAAAATGTTGTTAAAACATTTAATGGTTTAAGTGGAAAATCTGTTTCACTTAGATTAATAATAAAATTCCATGACCATTTTAAATCATTAAATAATTGACGAAAAGCATCTAAATGTGCGTCTAATAATGTTGATGAACCCCATGTTGTTGGATAACGATTATATTGTAATTTTATATTTGAATATGATTGTGTTAAATATGTTAATTCACGATATATATAATATTCACGCTAAATAATAGAAATTAATAAAAAGAATATAATTATTTATTATTCTATTTCTAAAATGTAATGATAACTACTTACAGAATCAACATGAATTAAATAATAATGATTTTTACTATATATTATTCTTATAAATCGTTTTATTTGTCGAAGATGTCGTCCACCAATTGTTAAAAAAAATACAATTGTTACTGTATTTGCATCTTTTTTGGCTTTTTTTCGTTCTAAACGATTTAAACATTCTTTATAGCCTGTTCGATATATTGTTATTAAACGTCGAAATTTAATATATGATTGCCGTTTTTTATTTACATAATGTTGACATGTTATATTCGGATGAGAAAGAATTGTCTTGTTAAACGATGAAAAACAGGTACAACGATTTTTCAAATCATAACCTGTAAAAGAGAGAGAGAAAGAGAGAGATAACAAAAAATTCGATCAATGTGACAGTGAGGAATCCTCTTGCTTTTAAATTTTTATTACAAATTTATGAGTACACTACTCCCAAATTAATGTGTCTATTTTCTACTTCGAAACTAACTCTCCATCTGCCATAAAATTCAACAAACTAAACATTAGATTGTAATTATACCTGCATAAGGCATGCTATACTTTAAACAGTAATCAATACACATGGTGGTTGATGTTAATACTGCACTTGTATTATATATTTCTATTGGATCATTTATATTGCTTAATAAACATCCAATGAGTTCGCCATTAATACTGTCTGAGAAAGATAAATATATATTGAACAATAAATGGATAAAAAAAATATATTAGAACATACCTTTACATGGACAATATCGAGGTAATTTATCCGGAAAGAAGTTTTCTGTAGATGTAATTTGACATGAGATATTATTTAAAACAGATTTACAATATTGACTTTTAGCACGATTAATTGCCTGTTGGGCTTCCATACTGAGTATACATGTCGATTCGTCATTTTTAACCTAAAGAAATACAATTAATAACAAATTTTATATTAGATAAAATATACTTACATTTTCATTATTATTCTTGATATTTATATCTAATGAAACATTATCAATATTTTCTGTCATTAACTGATAAAGTATACATGTTGTTGTAAAGGAAATAAGAAAAATAATTATAATTAATCTCCAAATAAAATGACGAAATCTTCGCCATCGACCTAAAATTCTCAACATCTGTCATCTAGAACAATAAACAAAAAAAAGGCTATCATTTAAATGATCAGTAAAATAGATGAAATGGTCAATAGGTAGAATAATTATAAAATCAGTAAGTTAAATGATTGATCAGTACAATAAATGAGTGATCAGTAAACTATTTAAATGGTCAGTTATTAATTAATGAGGTTTATTAATAAATTTAAAAAACAGTAAATAAAATTTATTAACAATCGATTATACTAAAGGGTAGAGGTCTAGAAATTAAAATGTGTATTTTTTACTGATCAAATTTGTTTATTTTTTTAATGTTAATCATATAGAATAAACTGATCATTTTACAATTAATTACTGATCATTTTAGTACTGACCATTCAATATTTATACTGATCATTTATATATTTTTTTACTGACCAAATATTATGTTTCCTAAAAAAAAATAGATTTTAAATACAGTATTATTATCATTTTCTGAATGACAAGAAAACAGGAGCTTCTTAAATTATAACTCACGCGCTCACACTACATATTTTTCTCGTTTTCTTTCAAAAAATAACATTTTATCCTTATTTCTTTTCTTTTTTTTTTTTGAATAAAATGTTGCTGACTGGTTTGTCAAAATCAATCAATAAATCATAAGCTGACACATATTTTTACTTCTTTCATATTATATGCAATATACTCTGCATGATCTCATCATTCTCACTGTTACAATATGTGATAAATTTATTTTCATATTTTTATATTAAATAAATCCTAAGTGCTTGATCATATAATATAATTTGTTTTCTCTATTATACAAGGTTAACGTGCAAACTTCAAAAATCAAATAAATAATAATCACGTACTAAACATATGTACCAGTAAAAATAACAAGTAGTGCCTGGTAGTGTACTGAATTATTAACATAAACCTATATTCATTCTCTCGTTTTTTTTTTTTCTCAAATAAACGTATGTTTTTGTTCCCTCATACAAAAATATATCGTCAAAAAATTTAACGACTGTAGGGCTTTTTGAACCATATAAAAAATTTTTTCTTTCTCCGATTGTTGTTGCTTATTATAGAAGAAACATTCACACATATATATATAGACACATCTGATACACAATTAAAGTTGTTTTACTCTGATTTTTGACTTACTTTAAGAGACCATATATTGAATAGAGATCCACACAGGCTCGAGTCAAACAATTCTTCTTGAATAAGTATAACAGAAGAAGTAGTCTAATCTAATATTAGTGGCACATTATAATAAACCATCTTGCATCTAGCGAATAGTCAAGTTTTCTGAGAAATATGTATCAGTATGCAATTCTTCAAGAATAAGTCTATTTCTTTTCTACGTCATGCCTATACTCAACTGAGAAACACTCTTACCAAATATACGCGACACCTTTCGAAATTGTTTCTTTGGTGTATTAATTCTAAGAGTGATTGGGCAGAACCAGTCAAACTTTAAGAATGATTGAATTGAAAGCCAGGCCGTAGCATAAAGTGTGCTGTTTATAAAGAAGGATATTACGGGCTAGCAAATGGCTTCAAAGATATGATGTCTAAATACTGGTAACGTTAGTTACGTAATTGCTTAAACAAACTACTTATATTAGAAACATATAGGAGAATGTAATGGGATCTATCTCGCAGTTTGACTGTTCATGGATCTAAAGTTTCAAAAAACAGGCAACATTTGACGTTTTGTTTTGAATTCAAATAAAATTCTGAAACAAGTAACTTCTCTGATACAACGCAACCCGTCTGATTAATCTTCATTTACAAGACGATCACATCAGAGTTTATCAAATCGAACGGAAAATTTTACTGTAAGTAGCTGAGATAATTAACATCTTAGATTTTAAATTGTTTTATCATGTTTCTAATATTTATTTTTTGATCTATCAAACCTACTAAAAACTCTTCCTTCCTTGAAAGAAAAATTAGTTGCACGAGGTACGTTTTGTCTTTTTACATAATGAACTTCGTCGTAAAGCTCATACTTTTCTCGTTGAAAAAATGTGTTGTTCTTAGAACTAGCATACAACTTTTGTATAAAACTGCGTATACGTTCCTTGAAAAGAATATTTTGATAACAGTACAACGTCTTCGATGACCCATATGTGTGTACACACATACGAATGTAAAAAGTCAAATTATTTCACAACGAAAAATACCTGTATGATTTGCAATAACTTCCAACTTATCTGAATGACGGAAGTGATCGGTCTACAGAACTTGTCTGTATGTCAGCGAAAATACATTTTGTTGTATAATTTTCATGTAATCTATCCAGTAACCCTTCTAACTTGAAGCAGAAAATAATAAAAAGAATTGTAAAATAAGTACAACATTGTATGCATGAATGATGTACCTAATTTTCTACTACTAATGCATTTCTTTCCTCTAGACAATTTATTGCTATTTCTACAATATCTAAAAAGATAAAAATCTGTTGGTAATATCAAGTGCAGAAGTGGAGAATCTATCCGTGTGCGCGTACGAACAGATGTGGAAAAGTTTTTGAAAGATTTTCCAACGGAAAAAATATGAAATTTTTCCGTGGACGATTACCCGGGAAAAAATAAAAGCTGTTTTTTAAATTTTAAATATGAACGTTTTCCAAAACTTTTACTCATGGGTAGATTCTGCACATCTGATCAAGTGTATTCAATGGAACTACGGACGTTATCATTTTCTACTTCTATTGTATTTTCATCTACAGCTATAGTATAATAACCCAATAATAATGGTCTTAAATTATTACTGTTGTACTTCATACTCTGTTTCATAAAGAATAAAATTGTTTGGTCTAGAATAAAGTAGAAAAAGAACGTTAAAATTAGTTATAAATAAAATTCTTTTTAAAACGATTATAAAAAGTTGATAAAATTATGGATGTTTCATCATCAAGCCCACTACATTTGAAATATATGTTAATAAAGTCCATTTTGATAATATGAATAGACATGTGAAGAAGAACAAACGTTTATTTATTTTCGATTCATTAAACAACCGTAAATGACGCATACAAAAACATTTCAAGACTAAATATAACATTTACAAAACAAAAGATGAACGATTAGATGTAAAAAAAAACTATATAAAGTTTCTTTCTATGTATAAAAAACAAAAAAAAACCATCAAAGCAAGCATATTCTTCCTAAACAATGATGGTATTTTTGTTTTTAAATTAATAATAAACTGCCATCTAATTAAATGGATCAGCTAAATCAATCTGACCAAAATATCTTCCAATTAAACAAATAAATAAATCACACGATCGCTCTAAAGATTTCGTATCAGAAGTTTCATTATCAGTAGTAACGTTATCATTCGTCTGTGTCATCTAAAAGAGGAACAGATATTTCAGATACATTTCATACTTGCTAAAATCATGCAATATTCTCAAAAATCAAATTATTAAACATATATTTACCAGTTTCAATCGTGTATTTTGACATGCCTTTGATAATAAACGCATAGTATACATAAAATCTTCACTAATTGGTTTTTCAATTGCAACTAATGTTGAATAAATATATAATGCCTTAAAAATAAAAATTTTTATTCTTTAATAATTCAAAATAAATTTATTTTTATAATAATATGTACCAGTTGAATTGTAAAACCACATGTTTCAATCCATTTAATTTCATATTGAAGTAATTCGTGTGTTTGTGGCTAAATTAAATACAATATATTTATTAATAATTCAAATTAATTAAAAAAAAGATTTAAATCTACTTGTGTTAGACTTATCATTTTTGACATTGTTGGTAAAACAGTATATTTTTCAAATGTATCTAATGATAAAATTGATTGTACTGGAACATTATCTCCAAAACAAAACTTCCAATAACTATTAATATTTTTCAATTTAGTAATCTAAAAGTAAACGATATATTATTAATCGATTTGAGAATTGTCAAAAAAAAAAAATAATAATAACAACAAATTATTTATTTTATCTTATTTACTTTAAAATTTTTTTTAGAACGTAATTTATCTCTCATTAAATAAAATTGATTTCGTGTATTTGAAAACATTTTACACTGTTCATTTTGCCATTCGGTTGATATTGTTTTAACTGTTGTTTCTTTTGATTCATTTGTCTCATTATCATTTTCATCGGCCTATTGTGTTATAACAAAAAGTAACATTAATTAATATTATCTCTTCTCTTTTGAATTTGTTTTGCTTACAAGTAGACTCTTACGGGGCAGCCCCGAATTCTACACCGTCTGTCCCATCCCGTAGGACAAACGGGATCGGGACAAAAAAATATTTACGGGCTTGGGCTCATGGACTCGTGGCAAGAAACAAAATTTCACGAGCTCGGGACAAGTTGCAGAAAAATGTTGCCCCGTAAGTTTTGTCTTTTAATTGTAATTATGCTGCAATTTCAAATATTTAATTCTTGTAATACTGTCAAGTCAAAACCGTAACTTTATAATAACTAAAAATTAACCTGGAGAGGTGAAATAGTCCGGATTTAAACTTAAAAAGATTTTCCATATCTAAAACTATTGTCCATCCAAAAAAAGAATGGTATATGACTGTTTTTTAAATAACTTTCGATAGGAAAAAGCTAAAGAGCTTCAATTTTCACCATTCGAAAGAGGAGACTTGGGGATATGTTTTCATAACCAAAAATTTTCCCAGGAGAGCTTTCTGGAACAGGTTTTTTAGGAGATCTTTGGAAAATTAGCTCTCGTGTAATAATTTTCCAATAGGATTGTATTGATTTGTTTTCACAGGCTGATAGCCCAGAGTGTCCTTTTCAAATTGAGAGTCAAGTGAGACCTTGATTTTCCACGCTTCGGGCGTTGTATCGGTTTTCCTACGAATCCCAGGACTGGCACCCAGTGACGATTGGTAGCCTTCAAGACGGATGAACTATGCGTAATCGATCACGCTGCGTCTCGTGGCAATATTTGTTTTTAGAAAAGTTTTAAAACTCTATCGAAAAGCGAGTTTTACAAAAATTTGTGTTTTCAGGGTGTTTTCACCTAATATTAAAAAATTCGTTAGTCACTCAGTAAACATCAGAACGACTTCAAAATTTTCAGGATATG